TACAGCCGAACCCTGAACCGCAGTCCGCAGTCCGCGCGGCGAATTACAATGTTTGGCTGCAAATTTGATGACAAAACCAGGCACTCGAAGAGATCAGGCACGCAGCACAGCCACTCCAACGCAAGCTGAGACACTGAACCCTAAACCCCAAACCCCAAACCCCAAACCCTAAACCCCAAACTCTAAACCCTAAGCCCTGGAGACGAAAACCTGACCGCAAAACCCTAGACCCCAACCCCACACCCAAACACTCAAGTGCTCAGGGTCTGGAGTGAAGGAATCCTCTGAAGTGCTGCGGTCCTGATAACACGAATGCCCCTGCAGAATTGGGCTGAGCTGCAGAGGCCAGAAACCCAACTGAGTAGCCCTTGTAAGCTCTAAACCCTAAACCCTAGACCCTAAACCTAAACCCCAAACCCGAAACCCTCAACGCTAACCCTAAACCCTAAACCCTGAGCTTTGCGACTGATACCTTTGGCCATCGACTGCAGCCTACGGCATAGCTTAGAATCTCAGCCTTGGGTTTGTGGAGCTTGAGCTGAAAGTGCTGGGGGTTAGATTTGCCTGAAATAGCTGAGACTACTATTTGCTCAAGAAACCCGAAAATCTTAAAGATATTCTTCCTTATAAGGGAAATACAGTGATGATGTTTTTGTTTTTTTGTGGGGGGGGGGGGGGGGGGGGGGGGTGTGCGGTTCTGAAGCCAGTAGTAGAACATTGTCTAAGGTTCTAGAAGACTTCTTCAGCTAGCGATGTGCGTCCTGGCAGGGGGCCTCGGGTTTAGGGTTTAGGCTTTGGGGTTTGGGGTTTAGGGTTTGGGGTTTAAAGGTTTAGGGCTTGGGGTTTGGGGTTTAGGATGTAGGGTGTAGGGTTGCGAGCGCGATTTGAGCCAAGCTACTGACCGCAGTGGGCAGGGGGCGTGCGTTCCGCATAAAGACAACCTGGAAACCCCATAACCCTAAACTCTAAACCCTAAACCCTCCTGCGGCTGCTTTATGAGGAATGCATTGCGGCCGGTGAGCGCCAGCGAAGTGTACAGGGTTTACGAACATGGGGGATCCCCAATATAGACCCCCAAATAGTATGATCCCCTTACAACTACAGGGTGGGGCCCCCTAGTTATAAGTAGAGTTATAAGGGCCCTAAATTGGGTTATAAGGACTAGGGTATAAGTCCCTTAACTACAGTTAGTATAGTAAGGGGGCCCCACCCTGTAGTAAGGGCCCCAGTGAGGTTCTCCTAGTATCGTAAACCCCAGTTTTGGAGATCACAAGGACAAGGAACCCTCTTTCTGTGACCCGTCCAATGCCAATTCAGGGCTTCTGTCACCAAACCTACATCAGAACACGCAGGTTTCCAAAATCTCCAGCAGCTAAACCCTAAAGCCTAAAGCCTAAAGCCTAAACCCTAAAGCCTAATTAAACCCTAACCCTCATGCTGAGGCCTCCCGTTCGGGAGGCCTCATGGTTCCCGGCTCGTAGCAGCAAGTACAGTGCAGCTTGCGACGTTTTTGTCCACGCAAGGAGATTATGCAAAAGAATGAACCCGCCTTTCCGAGCCAGGGTTTAGGGTTTACGGTTTTAGGGATTAGGGTTTAGGGTTTAGGGGCTTTGTAGGAAGCACCGAATACCCAAGTCTCCCTGAGGGTAAGATCCAAGTAAAGCAAACAAAGCCATTGGACTTGTTCTCATATACTATTTGATAATCATACAAGTAATGAAAAACACATGATGCAAGTGACAATCGCAACAAAGATAAACATAAAATGTAATTCAGAATACGAATACTACCAAATATTAGCAAGCAAAGCAAAATATGAGCTTAAGTACGACGAACCAGAAAAGACCAACTGCGAGAATGGGGGAGGGGTCTCGGGGGCAATTCCACTTCCGGCACCTGTTCCAGGTCGAAAAGTGGAAAGAGCCTTCTGCGGCTCATGGCGGTGCCTCGGTGAAGAATTCTGTGAAGACTGTCTCCGCTTTCTATGCCAGCCTGGCCTCGGGTGCGAAGACAGCTCTTCAGAGGGTTTGGGGTTTCGGGAGTTTAGGGTTTAGGGTTTGGGGTTTAGGGTTTGGGGTTTAGGGTTTGGGGTTTAGGGTTTGGGGTTTAGGGGTGATACATGTCGTAGGGTTGATATGGTTTGGGCGCCTGGCCTACCACGGTCGCTCCAACCAAAACAACTCCCACGCACGCGAGGTGCGAAGGGACTCCTTGTCATACTCAAGCGGCTTGGGTTTAGGGTTTAGGGTTTAGGGTTTAGGGTTTAGGGTTTAGGGTTTAGGGTTTAGGGTTTAGGGTTTAGGGTTTAGGGTTTAGGGTTTAGGGTTTAGGGTTTAGGGTTTAGGGTACGTATCCTAAATTATAAAGCTCAGATGACAAAGGAACCTGATAAGGGCGCCCCACGCCCCACCCCCCTCCCCGCCCCTCTCCCTTGCAACCCCCACAGTTGCCAAAGGATCCATGGTACAAATCCGGGCCGGGTATTGTTGAAGCCAAAAAGGTCCAGGAACTCTTACTTGAACCCTTGGCAGGATTTCGGATGAAGGGTCTAGGGTTTCGACCCGAAACCCGAAACCCGAAACCCCAAACCCCAAACCCGAAACCGATTCGGGTAGGGGTTAAGTAACCCAAAACCAAAAAAAGACCTAACCCTAAACAAATACTGCAAGTATACGATTCTACGATGGTGCCGATCGAAGGCTCCACTGGGGAACCCTAAACCCTAAACCCTGAACCCTAAACCCTAAACCCTAATAAGACACAGGGACGTCTGAGCTTGACTTGCAAGGTAAGAAGAGGTCTCAAGGGGTTAGGGGGTTCAGGGGGTGTAGGGTTTGGGGTTTAGGGTTTAGGGTTTAGGGGTTTAGAGGTTTTGGGATTTTGGGGTTTGGGAAAAGATCCCTTGTTGGAGGAACGCGGGCGTTTGCTGTGCTCTGCAGAGCGAAAACAGACTCATCCTTGAGAGCCCTTGAAGGCAGATTCGGCCTCTAACAACGCCAGGGCACTTCAACTAAGTTTGCCCTCTCTGAGGTGACTCACCTTGGGCAAAGTTTTGGCGGCAGCAAGAACGAAGCGGCTTTGTTTAAGCTCACGGCCCCCATGGGACCCTGCTTTTACATGTAGACAAAAGACAACCCCCCTAAACCCTAAACCCCAAACCCTAAACCCTAAATCCCAAACCCTAAATGTCAAGGCTGCCGGCGCTTGGGGGCGTTGGGTGTAAATCCGGGAAGTCAGTTGAGCTGTTGCAGACAAAGGTGTCTTCGTAGCCAAGAAACCATCTTATAATAAGGGCACCCTGTTTTGGTTAGGGTTTAGGGTTTAGGGTTTAGGGTTTAGGGTTTAGGGTTTAGGGTTTAGGGTTTAGGGTTTAGGGTTTAGGGTTTAGGGTTTAGTTTAGGGTATAGGGAATTTTAGAAGGGAAACCAGAACCCAAAAAAGGGTAAAGGGTACCACTGGGCTACCAAGGTGGTCAAGGTGCCAGCGAATGCTCAGCGCTAATCGAAGTCTTCCCCTGCTCTGCACTACCATCGACCACAAGCTGCCTAGTTTAGGGTTTAGGGTTTAGGGTTCAGGGTTTAGGGTTTAGGGTTTAGGGTTTGTGCCGTGATGTAAGCAGGGCGGGCGGACTTGCAGGTTTGGGGTACTCAGCCTCAGGATTCCTTTCGACTCTTACGCCCTAAAGTCCCAAAACCCTGAGCCCTCACACGTTGGTACATCCCTCCCCCTAAACCCTAAACCCTAAACACTAAACCCTAAACCCTAACCCCCCCTCCCAAGAACTCAACAAGGCGCGTGATACCAGCGCGCGCTCGCCTGGGGGGCGTGCTTGGGTTTGAGGCTCCGGGACTGTGCCAGGGGGGTTTAGGGATGTTTTGCTTCATGGGCTTTGTATAAAGAAACCTACAAGGCCCCTAAACCCTATGCCCAAGAGAATATCAACACTAGGAGACAAACGGGTGCCAGAAAGCAACAAGCTTAATGGGGGCAGCGGGTGACGGGGGTGGGGAGGCGGGGGGCTTTGGCTTTTCTTTGAGCTGGATGAGGGTTTATAGATAGGATCCAGTTTAGTAACCCTAAACCCCAAACCCTAAACCCTAAACTAGGGTTGTATGGCGCTCTCTGGCTGCTTCTGACTGAGAAACGGATCAATGCCCCCACTCTCGCGAACTCCAAGCGTACATACGTCTTCAACTCCGCGCCCAGCCGGTTTACCCTAAACACGAAAACCCTAATGCCCTAAACCCTAAACCCTAAACCCTAATGCCCTGATGCCCGAATGCCCTATCATGCCCTATCATGCCCTATCATGCCCTATCATGCCCTAACCCTAGTCTGTTGTTCCGTGCTTGAAAGTAACAATGTCGAAATTCACCCGGCCCCTGGCCAGGTCGAAGTGTGCTCATGGCGCAATACAAGCGGCTGCTCAAGCGCACATGGGTAGCTCTCTAGGGTTTAGGGTTTAGGGTTTATGGGTTATGGGTTATGGGTTTAGGGTTATGGGTTTAGGGTTTAGGGTTTAGGGTTTATGGGACCCCCATACGGCACCCGTACAGAAAGAACAAAAAACGCTACTCACACAGTCGGCCACAAACAATGCTCCGCCCTCGCAGCATTTCAGTGTTGACTTTCGGGTCTCAAACCAAAGCTTGCTACGAAACCCAACTCTACTTGAATGCTCATAAGTACTTCTAAGTAGGGTACTAGGACCCTAAAGTACTTCTAAGTAGGGTACTAGGACCCTAAACAAAGTCAGAAAAAAGCTTGCCCTACTCATAAGAATACTTATAAGTACCCATGAGCCTCCAAGAAAGAATCAACATGGAAGCCTTTCTTGTTCAACGGGCTTTGTAAGGTGGGGTGAATTGCCCAACAAAAAGGGTCCGAAAGGGCACCTTAGGTTTAGGGTTTTAGGGCTTATAGGGGATCCGACCACGTGAACTCTCTCGGCCCAAAACCCCGAACGCCGGTGCTTCAGTTGCAAGCTGGGCAGCTGGTGGCTAGAGCTGTATGTGCCTGGCGGCTAACACACACACACATACCGGCTGCACCAGAAAAAAAGCCCTAACCCCCCCCCCCCCCCCCCCAAAAAAAAAAAAAAAAAAAAAAAGAAGAAGTGATTGTCTTGGGGGGGGGGGGGGACAATCCGGTACATGTCCCGTTTAGGGTCAAGGGGTTTACCGGGGGGGCAGGGGGGGGGTCTTTGGATTTAGGAGCCAGCGGAAGTCTCAGCCCCGGAGATCATCTTCTCTAAGCTCCGCAACCCTATGAGCTCTATAAGCCTTGGCGATCTCCAAAAGAGCTCTTCAGCCCCGAGGAGAACTTGTTGAAAACCTTCAAGTTCTGGACGTCCACACTACTCGAACCCTTCAAGTCTTGAGGCCGGCTTCGGATGCAGGGTTTCGGGCTTAGGGCTTAGGGCTTAGGGTTTAGGGTTTAGGGTTTAGGGTTCAGGGTTTAGCTCAGCTTCCCGAAACTCACTGAAACCTACATCGAGGTCTATGGGAGGTTAGAGATGGGACCCTCGGCAGGGCAACAAAAGCTACAACTATTTAGGGTTTAGGGTTTTGGGTTCCCTTGACAAGAAGGTTGCAGCTGTTTATACCCCTTGTCTAGTAGTTATAGCTACCCACGAAAAAAAAAACAAGCAGCCCTACACCCCAAACCCCAACAAAAAAAAAAGTGAGGAATCGATGATGCGTGAGGTCCAGCAGCCCTAAACCCTCAACCCTAAGCCCTAAACCCTAAACCCTAAACCCTAGCCCTAAACCCTAAACCCTCAACCCCATGAGTTCAGAAGTAAGGTGCGTGAGGTCCAGCAGCCCGGCATCCCAGTGGTTAGGGCTCCTGGTGTCCAGGCTATTGGAGTCCTTCGCCAGAGCCTCCGCGGCTTTGACAAGGTGAGGAATGCGCTCGCCTCGGTGTAGGGTTTAGGGTTGAGGGTTTAGGGTTTAGGGTTTAGGGTTTAGGGTTTAGGGTTTAGGGTTTAGGGTTTAGGGTTTAGGGTTTAGGGTTCAGGGCGTAGGGTTTAGGGTTTGGGGTTTGGGGTTTAGGGTTTAGGGTTTTAGGGTGTCCCGAAAATCTAAAGCCCAAAACCCACGCTTCAGTTGCAAGCTGGGCGACTGCAGGTGGCTAGAGCTTTGCATGCCTGGCAGCGTGTCCCAGAACTAATTGAAGCCCGAAGCCTTGGGGTTTAGGGTTTAGGGTTTAGGGTTTAGGGTCTCGGGTTACCCCAAATCCTGCACCCGAAGAGAAGCCCCTAACCAAGCTTCAAGTTTCCAAAGGCGGGCAGTTGCACCAGAAGCCCACCCGAAATCCCATAAAGGCTTGACTGGAGGGTCCACCCCTAAACCCCAAACCCTAAACCCCAAACCCCAAACCCTATACCCTAAACCCCAAACCCCAAACCCCAAACCGTAAACCCTTCAGGGTGCACGCATGGGCTCAAGAAGTCCAGAAACAACCTGGCAGCCTTGTTGGCATCTGCCATCTGGGTTTAGGGTTTAGGGTTTGGGGTTTAGGGTTTAGGGTTTAGGGTTTAGGGTTTAGGGTTTAGGGCTACCCGGCAGCCTTGTTGGCATCTGCCATCTGGGTCTTCAGTGTGCCTGTCCACTGTCGCAGGCAATCATTGAACTCCAGGATGCTCCTTGGTAGCCCAATAGCCATTGGGAGTTTAGGGTTTAGGGTTTAGGGTTTAGGGTTTAGGGTTTAGGGTTTAGGGTTTAGCCCTTATACTCACAGTCCTTAATTGGGATTGCACTAGGGGGTACTACAACCCCTATTATAAGGACTGTTAGTATAAGGAGGAACATCTCAAAGGAACCATGGGTCCCCTTTTTTCCTCTTTCTGGGGTTACTTTATACTGGAACCTTGAACCAAACAAAAAAGGAAAAGGGTACCACTCAGCTAACAAGAACCCCTAAACCCTAAACCCTCAACCCTAAACCCTAAACCCTGAACCCTAAACCCTAAACCCTAAAAAGGGAACAAAGGGCACCACTGGGCACCCAAGGATCTTTGTAAGCATCGGCTGAATATCTTCCACCTTGCCCAGGGTTGAGGGCAGTGCAAGATTTCCAATGGAGCTTGTTACGGCATGCTGTTCCGGGTTTAGGGTTTAGGGTTTAGGGTTTAGGTCGCTAGCTTTGCCCGAAGTTTCCGAAAAGGAAGACTCCGACGTACTACTCGCACCTCGCGTCTGCAGGGTCCCCCTAAACATCCCAAAAAGCCCAAAACCCTAAACGAAAGGACCTTGACAGGTACCGACGCTGCGGGTTCCGCTGAACCAGTGGCCGCCACGACAACAGCCGTTGGTGTCTGCGTTTCCTGCCCAAACAGCAATCGGACTGTGGTAAGGCTTGCTGATAGGGTTGTAGGATTTTGGATGATGGGCTTCGGAATTATGTGTCTCGCTTAAACCCTACATCCCTGAACCCCAAATCCCATCTATATGAGCTACCTGGTTCTTGGGGTCCCACGCATACACGCACCGCAAGATACAAAATCCTTCCTATAAGGAACCCCCGAAAGGGTATCTCTACTTTAAGAAAACACATCGTCTTGACAACATGTCATTCTCAAGCCTCACTAGTTGCACCGCATTAACTAGCCACAACATGGCGGGGAAAGGAGGAGGGTCGGGCTGCTATGCAAAATGCAAGCTCAAAACGGATAATCTATCCGTGCATCCACCACGCGGGCTAACGCAGCGAAGATTCGCTACACAGCCTGACGCCCTAAACCCTACTCAAACGGCGCGGTTCTCCTGTCGACGTTCACTACGTCCGGGTAGTTCCCAAAAGTCATGGTCACATTTGGGTTCCCGAACGAACTACGTACTATACAGGACCTCGCCTTCTAGGATCCCTGAAATGGGACTATGATGTAAGGCCCCCCACCCCCCTGCCCCCCCCAAATTTCTGCCGAACTTTGAAATTTGTTTGCCAGACCGCCTTGAGCCCAAAAATTCTACGCGGCGTAAGCCCGAACCCACTTCAACCTTGCGGCTCAGGGTTTAGGGTTCAGGGTTTAAGGTTAGGGTTTAGGGTTTCTTAGGGTTTAGGGTTTAGGGTTTAGGGTTTAGGGTTTAGGGTTGGGGACGCTCAGCTTTTTCGTGATCGACCGCCCCTGCCTCAGTTGTTGGTACCACTGCCACCTTTGGTTCGCCTCGGAGAAGAGACTTCTTGGGTTGCCCAATCCCGGATGGTATAGGGGTTTAGGGTTTAGGGTTTAGGGTTTAGGGCTTAGGGTTTAGGGTTTAGGGGCTAGCTTCGGGAAGCCAGAAGGCAGGCGGCCTTCTGCGTGCATGAACCTGTGACCTTTGCACCCTGAACGGGTTTAGGGTTTAGGGTTTAGGGTTTAGGGTTTAGGGTTTAGGGTTTAGGGTCTGCAACCCGAAATCTCACCAACAGAAGGAGCCACTCTCCGCTCGCGCCGATCGCTCTTGATCGGTCTCGTTCGCAACCTGCGCACGGGTACTTGTAAGTAGGGTTTGGGGTTTCAAGGCCTTCAGATAGTCTAGGCTTTAGGGATTTGGTTTAGGGTTTAGGGTTTAGGGCTTAGGGTTTAAGACTTATAAGCCTGTTTAGAAGTACCCGTGAATCCTTCAAGTACACACCCATGTTGGGGCCACATGTATGGTCCAGATACCTGCATAGGGATAGTACACTGCGCCGGGGGTTCGAACCACCAGCTTCCAAGCGTTTTAGATGCGTGCCAGCACCCTCTTCCCCATAAACTCTAATTTCCAAAACGGGGTATTGCTTACTCCGCTAGCAGGCGTCGTGAAAACGCCACTTGTCGGCCCTCCTGACAGGAGGCCCCCCTCCTCTGGCACTTAACAAGTACATACACTTTTAAAACAGGGTATTCATTACTCCGCTTGTGGCAGGCTGCATGAGTGATCTAAGGGTTTAGGTTTAGGGTTTAGGGGTTAGGGTTTAGGGTTTAGGGCTGAGGCTTCTCATGACCAGAAAGAGGGTGCAAGGTGCAAAGCATGGTGGTGAGTTCTGAAAAATCTCCGTTTCAGCATACCCTAAAGGCCCCGAACCCGAAAAAACTGCAGCGATGGGACGTTGGGATTTGGGAGCCCAACCCTCAATCTGATCATGCCGATGCTTAGGGGCGGGAAACTATCCCTAACCCTAAACCCTAAACCCTAAACCCTAAACCCTAAACCCTAAACCCTAACCCCTAACCCCTAACCCCTAAACCCTAAACCCTAAACCCTAAACCCTAAACCCTAAACCCTAAACACTACACCCTAAGCCTGGCGTTTAGGGTTTAGGCTAGAAGGTTAGGGAGCCCTCAGCAGTGCGGGCTTCATGGCGCGTAGAAATATTCGATCAGGGGTCTACTTAGAGGTGCATGGGGTACCGATTGATAGGGGTTTAGTGTTTAGGGTTTAGGTTTTTAGGGGTTTAGGGGTTTAGGGGTTTAGGGGTTTAGGGTTTAGGGCGGTGTAGGGTTTGGGGTTTAGGGTGTACCTATTGGCAGGGTTATAAGTTGGGTGCCTCTAGTTGTGACCTGATTGAGGGTGCTTATAACCTATTTAGAGGTACCCATGACCCTTCAAGTAGGTTCACTAGGTCTGGGGTCTCAAAGTTTTACGCTGCTTGGATGGCAGGGGTATACGTTCGCGATCCCCTAAGGATCTAGGGGGTACCCCAAGCACGAAACCCTATAAGCCCTGAACCCTAGACCGTTGCCCTAAACCCTAAACCCTAAACCCTAAACCCTAAACCCTAAACCCGAAACAGATTCTCAACAGACCTTGGCGAGCTCCCGGACACTCCAGATTCTTCTGCTGCGCTTGGCACCATCTTGTACTTCGGTGGGATGAATCTCCTCAGCCGAAATGGCCCTAAACCCCTAAATCCTCCCAAAACGCCCCCTCGCCCCCCCCTCCCCCCCCCCCCCCCCCCACACACTTAAGCAGTAAGCCCTAAGCCTAGACCCTAAACCCTAAACCCTAAACCTAAAGCCCCTGCCGCTGGAAATTTACTTGGACAAGGTACCCTTCAGTACTTGGACAAGGTACCCTTCACGGCCAATAAGCATCGCCACAAACAGCGCCAGATCGGCGAACAAAAAGGAGGAAGAAACCCCCCCCCCGCAGTAAGCCTTCCTTACAAGCCACCACTAGTGTTGCCCTCTTCCTGATTAAGGGTTTAGGGTTTAGGGTTTAGGGTTTAGGGTTTAGGGTTTAGGGTTTAGGGTTTAGGGTTTAGGGGGGCTGGGACTTGGCCCTTGCAGCAAAAACACACTGTAGAGGACGTTGAAGTCCAGCTTGCCAGAAGGATCCACCTCTGCAACTAGATCCTGGGCTCCCAGGAGGCACGACAAAGGACCATGAACTAGGGTTTAGGGTTTAGGGTTTAGGGTGTAGGGTTTAGGGTTTAGGGTTTAGGGTTTAGGGTTTAGGGTTTGGGAGTTTACAAGAAAAGTAAAATAGGGGTCAGGAGTTAGGGTCCCGGGCGTAAGGTTCAGGAGTTAGGGTCCAGGGTTTGGGGGGGGTTTAGGGTTTAAAGGTTTTCTGAAAATAGGGGACCCCGCCAATATAGACCGCCCCAAATAGTAGGATTCCTTTAACAAACCAGGGACCCCAAGAAGGCACCCCTTGATATCGGAAATTGTGCCAAATGCCCATACCCCCCCCCCCCTTGATTCATTGAGTTCCAACCTGTTAGGGTTTAGGGTTTAGGGTTTAGGGTTTAGGGTTTAGGGTTTAGGGTTTAGGGTTTAGGTTAGGGTTTAGGTTTTAGGGTTTAGGGTACGACTGCCCCTTGCAGCTCGCCCTCAATGCCGGAACTTACGGGGGTACAAGGAGGGACCCCCGAGAATGGACCCCGAACCCAAGCAGGGGCCCCCTAGTTATAAGTTGGGTGATAAAGGCCCCAAGTTGGGTGATAAGTCTTCCTATTTAGGTTATAACTCCCTTAAGTACAGTTAGTATAGAAAGGGGGCCCCTACTTGTACATAACCCGGGTTATATAACCCCTATACATACCTCGTATGGCCCGTTTGTACCTAAGTAGCCCCCAAAATATTCGATATCCCCTAAGGTCTCTTATAAGGTCCCTTGAGGAACGCACCGCCCACCGAGTGACGCCTAACCACAAGCCGGGGATCTGTGTTCGGGTGCAGGAGCATCAGGAGACCTGGGATCGCGCCAGCAACTCTTAGGGCGGTTACATGTTCCCTTTAAACCCTAAACCCTAAACCCTAAATATCGGCCTTTAAACGGGGACCCCTTATATACCCCTTTTAAAACCCAAGGCCCCAAAAACTCGAACCCTAGAAAGAAGGAAAGGGACCATGCTAGGGATTATCTAGGATTTAGGGTTTAGGGTTTGGGGGTTGGGGTTTTTAAGCAAAGCTACGGCCCCATCAAGCTACGTAAGGTATTAGGCACTCGGATTCTGCAGATTTAGCGCTGTGAAACACCACGGTTCATGCCAAAACCCTAAACCCTAAACACTAAACCCTAAACCCAAAGCCCTGAACCCTGAACCCTCAACCCTCAACCCTAAACCCCAACCCCAACAAGCAGTCGGGAGTTCTATCCGTAATAGTTGAACTTTAAAACGAAAGAGGATAAAATAAGACCCAATGCCACCCTGATGGCAGTCGTTCATCTCCTGCTGAAAGTGCTCCAGCGGGAGGTCATTTGCATCCAGACCAAATGGGTTCTCCAGCTCCATCGAGATGAAGTTCCTATGGTTTAGGGTTTAGGGTTTAGGGTTTAGGGTTTAGGGTATGCATGGGGTGTGGCATCCTACAACAAGTCGGTGGAGGTTCAAATCAGCTCCAGGGTGCCCTTAGCCTTGCCAATCAGCTGCAAAAGATCTTGCTCCCAAAGCCAAGCGTCAGGGAGAACATGCCGAAGACAGCTAAGAATGTGAACAGTGGCGCGAGGACTTTGCTCGGGACAGAGGCAGAAATCAAAGCCGGGGTGAGAAGTATGTGAACAAGCAGGAAAATTGCGATGATCTGGGCAAATGGATATGGGAACTTTGTGTCGGTGATCTTTTTCCTCGGCTGGCGGAAAGTGTTGGGCAGGACCCATGGCTTCAACCTGACGCCCACTAGGCACCTTAAAAGAGTTGAGTATCCACCCGCGCCCCCCCCCCCCCCCCCCCCCCCCCCCGCAAAAAAAAAAAAAAAACATACAAAATCAACGAGAGGCGTGTTCAGCAAGTTCACGAATCCTCGTGAGATTGTCTGATAGACACGAGACAGAATTGGCGGTGGGATCTTCAAAACACCATCGTCCAAAGCCTGCAGGCATGGCGCTTCCGAGGCCAAGGGTTTAGGGTTTAGGGTTTAGGGTTTAGGGTTTAGGGTTTAGGGTTTAGGGTTGAGGGTTTAGGGCTTAGGGTTTATTGTTTAGGGTTTAGGGTTTATCGACCCTATGGGCCTGGGGTTTAGGGCAGGGTTTAGGGTTTAGGGTTTAGGGTTCAGGGATCAGGGTATAGGGTACAAAGTATAGGGTATAGGGTATGGACTTCATCGCCGGGGTCAGGTGTTGAGTTTTGACTCGAAGGGCTGTGCGTGGTCGGGCTTAAAACCTTAAGGGGCCAGGGCAGCTGCAAGTGGGTTTAGGGTTTAGGGTTTGCGGTTTAATTACGGTTTAGGGCTAGGGCCATGGCAAAAACCAACTCGGCAAGTATTTTAGGATGGCATCCTAAGCTAGAAGACCCTACACAAGTACGCGAGTTCGGGGGTACCTTAAGCCAATTAGCGCAGCTTGCTCCCTCCTAAGTGCTTCTTTCCGCTCGGCCGAAGGTTTAGTGTGTTTTTGGAATTTCTGTTCCCTAAACCCTAAACGCTACATCCTAAACCCTAAACCCTAAACCTAAACCCTAAACCCTACACCCTACACCCTACACCTGGCAAGTCTTCCAGTCCCCCGTACCTTGGTGATCAGCGTCTGCAGCAGGTGCAAGCATACCTCCACACGGTTGAACCTCGGCATTGGCTGTGGCGACGTTCAGGCTGTGTAGGGTATACTTTTTTAGGGTTTAGGGTTTAGGGTTTAGGGTTTAGGGTTTAGGGTTTAGGGTTTAGGGGTACTTGAAGTAGAATTTAGAAGTACCTCTAAACCCTAAACCATGTAGGGTAGCTATGGTTCTGACCCTATTTGGGTACTTCTAAACCCCACTTATAAGTACCCCTAAACCCTAAACCCTAAACCCTAAACCCTAAACCCTAAACCCTAAACCCTAAACCCTAAACCCTAAACCCTAAACCCTAAACCCTAAACCCTAAACCCTGAACCCCAAAGATTCAGGGGCTCTTCTTCCCAGTGCCATCCTTGCACCCTGCCAAGCAGCTTGTGGACCTCGCTGCATTCCTTGGTACCCCAGTAACCATACCACAATAAGGGCACCCTTTTTTGGGGTTGGTTATTGTATAAGGGAAACCACCCTAAACCCTAAACCCTAAACCCTAAACCCTAAACCCTAAACCCTAAACCCTAAATCCTAAACGGGTAAAGGGTACCACTGGACTACCAAGATTCCCAGAGGTGGTTCAAAGTCTGACTATCCAGCCCCATCACGTCGATCACGGCGAGCTCGACCACATCTCCCGAGATTTCCTGAACAGGGAGAGAGGGTTTAGGGTTTAAGGTTTAGGGTTTAGGGTTTAGGGTTAGGGTTTAGGGTTTAGGGTTTAGGGTTTAGGGTTTAGGGTTTAGGGTTTAGGGTTTAGGGTTTAGGGTTCAGGGTTTAGGGTTTAGGGTTTAGGGTTTAGGGTTTAGGGTTTAGGGTTTAGGGTTTAGGGTTTAGGGTTTAGGGTTTAGGGTTTAGGATGACGCAGTTCGTAACCCCTCCGTCACCTCTGAACTCAACAGCCCCAACAAAGCCCTCTAAGCCCTACAACCCTACTTGAAGATTCATGGGTAATGTTGGACTCGGTTTCGAGTCCAGGGGTCCCGCCCCCCTCCCGCCAAACAATTTTTTGGGTTTTCGCGGATCCTCTATAGGCTGGGACGGGTGCAGGGGGTTGGGGCGGCTGGGGGGTCGAGAATTAAAAAAAGAGGGGAAGCCTGGAAGCGTGAGGGTCTATGCTTTCCAGGCTTTGTAGCTCCCTGGCCAGGGGGGCTGCGGATTAGTGCGGGCAGCCGAAACAATTTACTGAAAGCCAATCAGGGCAGCTCGTGGGCTACTTACTCCCTTGGCAAATTGTTTGGGTGCCTGTTTCGTAACGAAAATTTTATAAGGAAATCAAATAAAACCGGACACCAGAAATTCCGGAGTTTCTTATTCAAAATAAGTTTTTGTTTTGGCTCCCCGGCCCCCCCGCCCTTCATCCCCGGGCCGCGCACTTCGCATAATTGCGGACCACCCTCATCAATGGGGGGTCCCCTACACGTTTTCCGGAAAACGCTAAATAGCGGCCCCTGTAGCTAAACCGAGTCCAAGACTACTTAGGAATAGTGATAAAACTCCCACAGAAAAGGCTATGACTCTACCCCAATTAAAGCCCTGCTTACACATGAAATTCCAAGTAACCCTAAACCCTAAACCCTAAACCCTAAACCCTAAACCCTAAACCCTAAAGTCCCCTCAACCTAGGGGTCCTCCAGGGCACTTCCGTGGCAAAGGCTCATCAGCCTTGCCAGGGCTCTTCGTGACCCTGGAACCCTAAGCCCTAAACCCTAAACCCTAAACCCTAAACCCACCCTAAACCCTAAACACTAAACCCTAAACCCTAAACTCTAAACCCTAACCCCTAAACCCTAAACTAAACCCTAAACCCTAAACCCTTATCAAACTCCAAACCTATATATAAACCCATGGTACCCATAAACCCTCTAAACCCGATAAACTCGAACAGCCCACCTGATCCCATAAACCTTAACAAATCAATGCAGAAAACCCACGAAACCCCGAAACAACCTGGAACAACACCTCCACCATGTTTGGGTACCTGGCCTGCCTGTTGGTTCCCTGGTCCATCATCACCCTAAACCGCCTAAACCCCAAACCCTCAACCGCAAAACCCTCAACCGCAAAACCTTAAACCCTAAACCTATTAAGGGTTTCAGGTCGCGTCATGCGATACGAAAATGAGCGCCCTACATTTTGAGACACAACAGGCCCCGACCCCAACAGAACCACAATAGGGAGCCTCGGTTGATATGAGACCTTCATGCCCTAATCCCTACACCCTAAAGCAGCCCTGGCAAGACCCGAAACACTAACATGTAAAGCCCTCAGCCCTAAACCCCTCAACTCTGCAAAAAGCTGAAACCCAACCCCTAAACATAACAACCCGACCCTCAGCCCGCTAACCTCAACTGCTAACCGCAAACCCCGTCCTCCCCTAAACCGAAAGACTTGAAACGGCTCAGTCCAATTATCTGGACCGGTTCTGACATTTTGCAAGAATTACTTGAAGGTTCATGGGTGCTGATAAGCACGTAAGGTGATAAGTACCCTCAATCAGGTCACTTGTAACCCTATACTTAACAGTAATTACCCATGAACTCACAAGTCATGGACCCCTAGGAACCCTAAACCCCTAAAGTTCTCCCTTCGTTTCCTTTAACGCAATCACCCAGGATTGACACGGTTCACGTCTTCGTCCCATTCAAAGGTCCTGTGGTCCGCTGTTTAAGCCCCTAATGCCGCTACCCTCTTGACTCTAACCCTAAACCCCAAACCCCAATCCCTAAACCTAGACCCTAAACCCTAAATGCCCTCTCTTCTGTGAACCGATGAACGAACCCTGTATGGAACCCCCAGTCTACGTTCTGGAACCCCTTTAAACCTTCCGCCTTCCATAAGGGTAGTTCTCTAGATTAGGGTCCTCTTGGTGTCCTTCTTTGAACAATGCCCTACTCTATCTAGCACCCAAAAAAGGGACCTGAATTTAAAGAGCCGTGCACGTGCAGGTTGCTGCTTAGTTGCTTGGAGCTTAGGGCTGGCAAGGCATCGCCTACACCGGAAGTTGGTTCCTAACACGATGGCGCGTCTCGGAAGTGCTGGATCCTGCTGAATACATCTGTGAGCCCTCGCATGTTCGCGTGTTGCCAAGAACGAACTAAAGTTGTCCACCTTTGAACATGCATTCTCAGTCAACGCGGCTGGGGCGCTCGCATCGTAACGCTCGTACGCATCTTATCACCCGGCATGCTCATTCCAGGATGGATTATCAGGCCTTAACACCCCCATAATGAACCCTATCAAGGGCCTTTTCAGGGATTCTAGGGCATACATATATATATATATACATAAATATATATATATATATATATAAATCAATAAACAAATAAACATATATATATATATATAGCCCATCCTGGTTTCTCTGACAGATCAACTGCAACCCGGGCGTGCTCACGATTAATCATGGCTTCGACGTCTGCGAGCTGGAGATGCCGAACCACCACTAGTGCGACTCCTCACAGATCCCTTCAGGCTTTATAACTTGCGCCCTAAACCCTAAACCCTAAACCCTAAACCCTAAACCCTAAACCCTAAACCCTCACAGATCCCTTCAGGCTTTAGCTTGCCGTGCCGATGGATGCACATGCCCGAGGGCTAAGCCGCTGAAACCCCTAAAACCCTGTAACCCTAAAACCCTAAACCCTAAAACCCTAAACCCTAAAAACCCTAAAAACCCTAAAACCCTAACAGCCCTAAAACCCTAAAACCCTAAAACCCTAAAACCCTAAAACCCTAAAACCCTAAAACCCTAAAAGCCCTAAAAGCCCTAAACCTTAGGGTTTAGGGTTTAGGGTTTAACACTAACCCCTACCTACACCCTAACCTCGGCTTCCGGCCCTGGAGACCGCTATTAACCTCCCACCCCTCACGGGATCTTCAGGGTTTAGGGTTTAGGGTTTAGGGTTCACTAGTTCATGGTTGGGATGGCATCAAGAACTTAAATTTCGATTACTTGTTGCGTTTAAGTACCCTTGAAGATGTAAAATGTTACCCCTCATCCCTAAACCCTAAACCCTAAACCCCACTATGACGAAGTCATGGGAACTTCAACCGAACAAACACGCGCTGCTTCCGTCACGGCCCAGAACAAGCGACCCAGGCCGAGGCGGATCGTGCTAAAGACTGAGAACGCTGGGGGTTTAGGGTTTAGGGTTTAGGTTTTAGGGTTTAGAGAGTTTAGAGAGTTTGCAGAGTTTAGGCTTTAGGGAGTTTAGAGTTTAGGGTTTAGGTTTAGGGTTTAGGGTTTAGGGTTTAGGGTTTAGGGTTTAGGGTTTAGGGTTTAGGGTTTAGGGTTTAGGGTTTAGGGTTTTGGGTTTTGGGTTTAGGGTTTAGGGTGATTTCGAGGGTTATCAAGACACAAGAACCCTACTCGAAGGTTCAAGGGCATGTGTGAGTGGGTTTAAAGGCCCAAATACGGTTCTGGCCATACTTACCCTACTTCGAATCCTACTTGCAAGTACTCATGAACCTCCAACCCTAAACCCTAAGCCCTAAACCCTAAGCTCTACACCCTAAACCCTAAGCCCTAAACCCTATCCTGTATGCTCTGATCAGAAGGCCGGAATGACAAACACACTCTGATCTTCGGGTTTAGGGTTTAGGGTTTAGGGTTTAGGCGTTAAGGGTTTAGGGTTTAGGGAGTGAACCTGATCCCATTTGTTTCACGTGCACCCGGTGACAGCAACGCGGGCCTGACGAGGGTGTGTCTGAACTTTCGGACTTGTTCTGGCTTGCTCGGACGAGCGCTGATGGAGAAGGTGATCTCAGTGTGCAGATGCTAAACCCTAAACCCTAAACCCTAAACCCTAAATCCCCTGGATTCGAGCTCCTGTGCCTACGAAAGCATAAGGGTCATAAGCAGCATCCTCGAAGACTGAAGAACTACACTGCCCTCACATGGGAGTTTACGAACAAAAGGGGGACCCCTGATAGAAGCCCCAAATTAATGGTAGGAACCCCCCCCCCCCCCCAATAAGAGAGACCCCTAATTTCGGAAACCCCCACATGGCGCCTTAGCCTCGGGAACAGACAACTCACAGGAACTGAGCACTTGTCAGTCGAGCGGCGCAGTTGCTGACTGTGTCGAACCATTCCTTAAGGGGTGCAGATGGCGCATCACAAGCAGGGCCGCTGTGATCAAGGTTACACTGTGATCGCAGCCCTAAACCCTAAACCTTAACCCTAAACCCTAAACCCTAAGCCCTAAACCCTAAACCGCAGTTCATGATTTCTGCCTGTGGAGCTCAGGAATCCAGCAGTGCGTAGTCTTGCATTGCTAGGCTTCTAGGGGATGCGCCCCTCTAACCCCAGAAGGATTTCGGGGGCTTGCGGCCCCAACACCCAAAGAACCACCATGCACTGAAACGACCTAACTTAAACCCTAAACCCTAAACCCTAAACCCCCAACCCCCCTAAACCCTAAACCCTAAGCCATACTCTGAACTTCTACAGCCTAGAGCCTCCATCCTCAACTACCCTAAACCCCAAACCCAAAACCCTAAACCCTAAACCTTCAAACCTTCAAACACCGAAACCCCCAGCCCAACTTGCAGCTCATGTCGCTCCCCTCATCTGATGCAGTAGGCCCGTCCCCTCCCAGAAGCGCGCCAGACCCTGTTTGGAGGCGGCGTAGGGTCGAGGAGGGTTTATAGGGTTTAAAGGGTTTACAGGGTTGATGACGTTTATGAAGCTTTTAGGGTTTATGAGGCTTACAGGGGTTATAGGGCTTCTAGAGTTCTAGGCTGGGATGACTTCGATGCTGTTAACTTTCCGGCTTTGGGGTTAAGGGCACAGAGCAGGCTTGACGTGGTTGAGGGGTCTCAATTCTGGTCTCCTTGTTCGTTTTGTTTTGTTTTCTTCCCTTTCTTTTCTTTTTTTGGGGGGGGGATACCTGATCTTATTGTTACATACTGTTGCTGAACTGTAGCCATAAGATGCTACAAACCTAACCCCGAAGCCCTAAGCCCCTACACCCTACACCCTAACCCCTAAGCCCTACGCCCTAAGCCCTTAACCCCAAACGGGCTCAAGCCATGGAGCCCCCTTGAACGCGGGAAATCAGCACCTTCAGCCCACAGGCCTAACGTGCCCAAACCGGAGTAGGGGTTTGGGCGCTTGGGTTTGGGGTTTTTGGGGTTTATAGGGTTTATAGGGTTTAGGGTTTATAGGGTTTAGGGTTTAGGCGTTAGGGGTTAGGGTTTAGGGTTGATTCAATTGCATTTTTTATTGGGGGGGGGGGGTATGTCCCCCTTTTGCCAGGCGAACTCCTGTCAGAGGCACTTAAGCTCATGCAGCTCCTACTTGGAGGTTCGGCCTTTAAACGCAGGGCTACAAGCAGCTGATAACCCTGCTTTTAAATAAGTGCGCATAGACCTTCGTCAGAAGTTTCGCGGATCCCAACACAGAGCGCTCACGCCAGACCGCTGAGTCGAATTTTGCTTTGGCACCGAACTCACCCTCACTCTTAGACCCCTGAACACTACTTCAAAACCCAGGGTTTAGGGTTCAGGGTTTAGGGTGTGCAGGGTTTAGGGTGTGCAGGGTTTAGGGTGTGCAGGGTTTAGGGTACCCCTCAACCCCCTAGACCCCCGACAAACCCCCCCTTCCCCGGCACTTCGGCGCCTGACGCGCTCGGAAGCCTAAAAGGAAGACGAGGATGACTG